AATAACATACCGTGTTTTGCTTTGCAAAGTGGTTGTTGGTGTTTTTTAATTTTTTTTCTTTTATTATTGTTTTCGTTGAATTGTGTATGTTGACTTTGTTTTGTTTATGATTCTTTTTACTAATTTTTTATTCTGCCTATAAATTTTAAGTTCTTGCAATTGTTGAGTAAAAAATTAAATGAGTTCATTTTAGCTACTAAGAAAACGAACTAACATTTTTTTCAGTGTATTGTGTTGTCTTTGTTTTGATTATTAAGACTGAGCTTAATATAGTTTTTTTGTTTTTAAAATCTGAAGCAAGCATAAAACATTTTTTTTCAAGTGTATGCAAAAGTGAGATTAGATTAAAAAATTCGTATATATAATAAAATCATTAACTAGATAAAAATAGCGAACTTAGCAATGAGAAGAGAAGAAGATTTATTAAGATATTTTTAGGTGAAGTTTAGAATAGCAAAAATACATTGTAGATAACAGGAAAAGGATCCAAGAAATACTCTTAATTTCGATAGCTATTTTCAATTGATTATAATACAAAAAATTTTTTAACTCATTTGCTAATTATAATTTATATTATTATTATGATCTACGTAATTGCAATTTGTTATTTAAGTAATGCTTACTAAAGATAACTTAAGAAATTGTCTGTACCAATAAATTATAAATATGTATAATAAAAATCGTACTTAATTTATCCCGTTACCAATTTTTTAATATTTTCCTATTCTCTATATGAACTACTTCTTATATAGTCCATTTAAACTTTGTTTCCGTTTTTCTATTCTACTCCACAGTACTTATACGAATACTTACAATAATACAAAGAAACATTACTTATATTGCCACAAATTTAAGTTAGAAAATATGAAAATGTTTTATACGTCACATACTATAGAAATTGTTACTCCACTGTAACGGTTGCAGAGGAGAGAGGAACAGAGTAACAGAGGAAAGTAAAGTAGAATCCTTAATATCAGTTATTAACCTAATAAAGCCAAGGATTAATATCGTTTCAGATACAAATTGAAACTAAATCGCTTTTGAAACTAAAACTATAATAATGCCATTATTAATATACATACGTATTATATATATATGTATATATTATATATGTCCATATTTATATACATATACATTTATATATATGCATGTAGGCATATATTGTAAACCAAGAAACCAATTCTATTACTTGTTATAATAAAATGTAGTATCAAGTGCTAACCCATCTGCAATCTTCAATTCAAAAAGAAGCTTAAGAATAAGGTTATGTCTATATGACAAAAGCGACGAACTTTGTTTATTTTGTTCCTATCAATTACACAGGTATGGTTGGTTGAGCATTTCGCTTTGACTTAAGTTCTTACGGTACGTACCGACTAACTGAGTCTTAATGCTCTTTCTTATGCAACGCAAGGACCAATTAAGTGACTATGATACATCTTCGCAGAATACATGGGAAGATTGTAAATTAGATCTAGCAGAACGTGTTGTACAGTTGGTGAGAAAGAACATAATAACATACACACCAAAAACAAAGAGGAACAAGGATTCATATTTCAGATTCTAAGCGAATATCGTAAAAAATATTCTGACTATTTAAAAACAGTATTATCAAATTACATATACTTATGTATATATAGTGAACAAATAAACTTGTATTAAAAAAATATATCTATAAAATCTAACCTAAGCTTAGAAGAAAAAACTTTTTTGAAGAAAACTTCCGTTATAACATATTAATATAAGTTGTTCTATAAGTTAATATAAGTTGACCGATAACAACTGATTTTTTCAATAAATTAAACTTTTATAATATTAAGATGAACAGTTTTAGTTTAATTATTAATTTATATGAATAAAATATATAAATGAAAGAATAAACATTTTTCTTTAAATTTTATTTTAACAATTAGAATACTAAAGAGTTAATATAAAAACTACACTCAAGATAGGATTTGAGGGCATCTTAGAATTTTTCTGGTGAATTCTTAAATTAAGTTAAAGTGAAACATCTTAATGATAAGATGTGTTTTTTTTAAATTGTATTTCGTTGAAACATAAAAATATCTGCAAATAAGTTCAGATAATAAGATAATGAAGACATTTATTACGACTGTTTTAATTGCTTAAGTAAATGACGTTCGGGATTTTTTTTTTATTTTTTCCCTTTTTATATTTTTGCCCTTTTTTTAATTTTTTTCCCATTTTTTTAGTTTTTCCCTTTTTCCATTTTTTTTTTTGAAGTATCTGTACATCATTTTGTGTATATTTCGTTAGTGGCACATATTAGTCATTATAGTCTCTATAGTCACTGTAATGTATACAAGCATCAGCGAGCGAACGCATATGGAGTGGTTCTACCACTTTTAGAAGAAACAAACCGCAACTAGTCTAGTTACAATTTCATGGCTTGAGCTCGAAATTGCTTGCGATGTGGGACCTTAACCTCATTCTCTTGATTATGACGAATGCTGAATTTATTACCAGAATTCGTGTTATGTTGCAAAATTTTATGATTTAACAACAAAGAAACACGCTAATTTATTTATATGAAAAATTACCAAAAATTTGGAAAACAAAAATCAGAACGATTAGGTGAATTGATTTAACTTTAATGTTGGAAATGAAGAGTTTAAATAAAATTTATATGATTAATATTTGACTAAATTATAATGAAAGATAATTAAGCGATTTATAGAAAAGATAAAGTTATATACATTAGTCAAGTTAAAGCAATGAGATTTCCATAAGATCATAACAATTGAATAGCAATTCAAGCGTTACTTTCTAGAAGTTCACTTGGTACTCTCCACATTGGAGCAATAGAGAACCCAATGAAAATCCATATAGACCGAAACCAGTTCAGAACTAACATCAAATTATATAAGTGGACATTTTTGGAAGAATAGTTTTTTTAATAGTAAATTTCAAATGCATAAGTTTTAAATAAAAATTGTTCAAGTTCAAATTAAGAAATGAAAATCCATGTAGACCAAAACCAAACTCAGAACTCAAATCAAAATCATTAAGTAGAAATTTTTGGATGAATTATTAATATTAATATAATTATTTTCTTAGTATTTTAGAAATAAAAAATATTATGAAAAAAATGCATAAGTTTGATTCTAGATACAAACTTAATTTGTGTGTTTATAATAGTATTCTACTCTCTTGTGACCTCACTTGAAGGTACAGTTCTGAATAACTTCAGATACAGAAACTGTAATTTTCTTTACAGTAAAAGTCAAACGAAATAGAGGAATAAGAAAACCAGTGTTTTAATTATAATTTCACATATCACTAAATTTAATAAAAGAATATAATAAAATATTTCAGACTATTTAGTACTATCTGCAATCTTACCATAGAATAGCAATAAAGCTTTAGTCTCTGTTGGGAATATCTTTAAATCATCAAAAAAATTCAATTAATTAAAAAAAAAATAATAAGCATTAAAATATCATTGTCTTTAATTTAGTGTCGCTTTGCGTTATAATAAAAATCTAATAAAACCTTAAACTAGTGGACTACCAATATAAAATAGAATAATCGACAATAAATAAATAAATAAATAGATAATGAATAATCTCGGTGTGTTTATCTTTATTTGGGGTTCTCTATTTAAATCTTAATCTCACTGTATTTGAAAATCACAAAGAGCTACAGTAAGAGAAAATCGGAACACTTATATCTTTATTTGCATTAGTATTTTACTATTTTTAAACTTTTGTAAAAGATTAACAGTAAAACCGCTCATCTTTTCTATCAAAACGTTAAAATACACCCAATTATTACTTGGGCTAAAACAATGTGATATTATATTTTTAGGGCAGTTTCCCTTATAGACCAAACACCTACATTAAATTGAGAGCACTTTTAGTGAAAAATTACAATACAGATATGTACTCTTTTTTATATCTACTAATGTGGTTTTGTAAAATGTGATCGTGAATACCTAACTGCTATAAACGATTTGCTTTCACTATATCATAAAAAAAAATTGGCAGAAAAAAAATTGTTTTGTCTTCTGTTAAGGGTCTTACAGCTTTTTTATCAAACTATTCAGATTAAAGGCTGAAAAATAGACTAATGAATTCTCCTCCCAAATGGACATTTAGTACCATGGAGTATAAATTAAAGAGCTATTTATTTCTATCTCAAGAAATCATTTTGGGTACTACGAATAATTTTTAAAATGGATTATATATATCCTACAACAAATAAAATCTACATCATTTATTAGAATGCTACTATGATAAAATCCTCTAGACTATAATGGAATGATAATCCTAAAGATTATCGTGTTTAATTTAACTTATAAGCCATGATATCTGGCAAATGAGCCTACTTATTCAAGAGTTTTTAAGATTCTAAAACTTATTGTTAGGCTTAAAATAAAATCGATCCAATAAAGATATATTATTAAATAAATAAAAAACTTTATAAGTACATCCACATATTATAATATTCTAGCAAAGAAGTACTAATCAATTACAATTTATTAAATATATTTTATTTAAAGAGCTGTTTATTGCTATCTGAAGTAATCATTTTGGGTGCTAAGAACACAACCGGCACATGATTTCTGACAAAGTAGTAATACCAAAAACATAGAAATATAAAGACACGCATGTATTGTGTCTATGTACCTATGCTCTTGGTATTATCTTATGAAAAGTTTCACTATAATTGCAAGAACTTTTCATTAATTTTTTACACTTTTAATGAAAATCTCTTGTCTATCATTAGAATGTATTCTATTTTTTAAGAAACTTCACTGCCAAAAATATTATTCAGATATATCAATACTTTTTTTCGTATTTCTAAATAACTCCATAACATTCAAGAATAATGGAAATACTTTTTTTTTGTAAATTTTTGAACAAATTTTTTTTTGTTTTTGTTTTATTTACACAAATTAATTTTCAATGTTTTGATTTATTTTCTCAACTTTTTTGACATAGAAAACCCATAAATTTTATGAATTTTTTTTTGATTACCTCAAATCACAGTTGACGCAATTTAATCAAGCCTTCAATTTCGACAAGTTAATTGATGAAATGATAAGATTCGATATATAATAATATTTTTATTTCCAATATTATGGATTTTTTATTATTACTTTTTTTCCTCAATAATTCTCAATTATTTTCGATGGATTTCTTGGCAAGCTCCAGTCGAGCTAATCTGGTTTCACAGATTTCACAGATAAACAATAAGAACGAAAGTGGTTTTTATTATTTAATGCTTTAGCAATTAAAATTGTATTAATAAATCTTTCTGCCTGAATTTATTTATCAATTTTCGTTTTTTATTATTATTAAATCTTTATTGAGTGCATTTAAATTGGGGAAAACAATGGCAAAAATTTAAAAATTGGTTTTAAACTGAAAGGCGCGCGTTTGCTGAACACACGTGAATTCAATTTACGTTACGTTAAATCACGTTACGAAATTTGTTTTTATTTATTTATTTTTTTTTTTGTTTTATTTATTATTTTTCTTTATTTTTTTTTTTTTGTTTTTGCTGGTCTTGCACTTCTTACTCGTATTTGACGTTGTGCTTACTTGTTTTTTGTTTTTACTTTACTTTTTCAACACGCACTTTATTTATGCCGTTTTTCAACATTAAGAAAGAAAGAAAGAATTTTCAAATGAAAATGATAATCAAATGATTTTTAATCGATTTATTTAATAAAAGGTATTAACCTTCAATTTTAAACTATATTTATTTCGTGTTTGTTGCAAAAATTCTTCTTGCAATCAAAACAAACTCAAAAATCACCACAAACAATGCAATGCCTTTTTGAAAATTCACACAAAATTAACCGCTCACAAGTCTTTACGAAATAACGGTCGTAACCGAACTAAACGAAGCAGAAGAAAAGATTTTTCTATTCAAATAAAAATATTGAATAGCAAACAAACAACAAAGTTCCATGCAAAAAAGCGGTTTTTCGTAGGCTGCGCTGTGGTGCGAGTGCAATAACAATATGTGCTTTAAAGTTTGCTGAGCGTAAAAATGTGTGCTTGCGGCGAATATGGCTCTTTGCTGGATAAACGGATAAATTCAGTAGTGCAGCGACAATTGTTGGATAAAATGTTTATCTCAAAGTTTTTGTTTGCTTTTTGCAAAAAAACAATAAAAACTTAATTTCGCCAAAAATTTTAATGTTGCATAAATGGATAACATGTGGGAAGTTACTTTCTTCTATTAAAGGACTTTAAATATGCAAAGATAATTCTCTATAGTCTATTTTGTGATAAACAATAAAATTTACTCAATAACAAATAATTTTAATATACAATAGTAATAAAAATTTTAATAAACAAATAAATAATAAATAAATAAATAAAATTATAAAAAAATTACACTTATTGATTTTTATTAAATGTAAATAAAAACAATAAACAATATATATTATATAATACATATAATATACTATATATTATAAATATATATAATATACTTTATAAAAAATATAAATCAATAAAAATGTAAATAAAATATTATATATATTTATATATATATGTATCATAAACCACATATATTTGAATAAATATATTTATATAAAATTTATAAATAAAATTATAAAAAAATAACACTTGATAAATATAATTTAAAATAATTAACACAAATAATTAAGTGTAATTTTTTTATAATTTAATGTGTTAAATAAACGACTTAAGCCCAGTGAAAATCAAAATACGTATATTTATATATTTTGTTTATATTAAATATATATTACATAATATCTATATTATAAAAAATATAATTATATAAAAATATAAATAAAATAAATATAAATGAAAATATATATGTATTATAAACTAAATATATTTACATAAAATATATAGATAAAATTATAAAAAAAGAACACTTCAATTTGTGTTAAATATAATTTAAAATAATTAACACAAATAATTAAGTATAATTTTTTTATAATTTTATGTGTTAAATAAACGAGTTAAGCTCGGTGAAAATCAAACAATGTATTATGAATTGGTTACGACCAATAACAATTAATTATTAAAATAAATAAAATAAAAGAAAAATACATAATAAATCGGTTTAATTACTTATATTAAACGTATTAATTAAAATTAATAATTATAAAAATAAAATATTACAATAACAATAATAAAATGTAATTAGTATTTAATACATAAATATATCATTGTGTAATTTTTTAAATATTATCTGTTTAATAATAATTTATAAAACTTCCATTATTTAGTATAATTATTATACTAACTATTACTCAACTACCTACTGTGTCGATATATCAACTAAATAATTATTTAATAAAATAACATAATGTATTCATTATGTATTATTTATATTGTTTTATATAAATATATTTTTCTGACCAAAAACATTATATAATAATTTTTGAGAGGGATAATTGGCAATTTTAATAAAATCTATAAATTATTATTTATATTTAAAGAAAGACATTTTATTGAAGTACTATTCAAAATAACAAAATTTATAATGTGATATAAAAGTTAGCCCGCTTAAATATTATTATATATTTTTTAATTATATTTTTATTTATTTATTTATTATGTATTGTTGTTATTATGTTATTTGCTATCTATTTCTCAAATACATTTAATATTATTTATTAATATTTTGACTCTTATAATAAAAATTTCATAATTATTCTTTATATATATAATTTTTTTCCACTTGTCGTTTGTTATATGTATTATTATATGGACATGTTTAATAAACTCTACCAATAGTATATATTATTTATAGTCACCACAATTATTTTTAGAAGTTATTACTTCTAACCATCTTATTTTGAAAACTATTTTTTAATGGTCATTAATAATTTTCTATTCATTTTTTATATAGTTTTAATAATAATTGTTATTATTATTTATCTTCTAAATTAAAATATTATTATAATATCTTATACATATCATTTTTAACACCATTTTTATATCTTCATACATAATTTTTCATTAATTTATTATTATTTTTACATTATTAATCATTTTTATTATTATTAATATTTATTTATTATTCATTTTATTGTATAATATTTCCTATCATTATTTAATTCCTATCATTAATTTAAACTTATTTAATCTTATAATCTATTTTTCTTTAAGTTTGTTATTAATATATCTTGTAATTATTATTTTTACAATCTAGTAATTTTATTTACTTCTTATTGATGTTTTACATTAACCATGCAATATTAATATATTTTATCATTAATTATTTAAAATGATTATTATTTTGTTTATTTTATTATTCTTTTATTAAAATTCGTTTATTATCTTATGTTCCTATATTTTTGTATAATTTATTATTATTATATATTTTTATTTATGTGTTATTATACCATATGTTTACTTTTTTTTCAAACTGCCATTCAATTAATTTATTATTTATTGATTTCATATATTCATTTCGGAATCTCAATATTATATATATATATACTGTTTTATATTCGTAATTATTTTAATCTTTGTTTATATCTTACTTTTTGCACTATTTATACTATATTATTGTGGTCATTTTTACTATATTATTTTATAATATTGATTAGGTGTTGCCGTTATGTGTTAATAACGCATTATTAATACATTTTTAATATTAAAATTCATTTTGGTTATAATTATTTATTATACTTTATATTGAAAATGTGATTCGGAAACAACAAAAAGATAATACTGATCCAAGAAAATCCTTCTGCAAATATTCATGTACGGACGCAATCGACTTAAATCTTCTCCTTTGAAATGACCATTTTAGGTTTGACAACAGAATTAACTTACTTAGGACCTTGCCAGTTAAGAACGATTTTTTGTCTATATTGAATTGTACATAATTTAATGTAATTCTCATTAAGTTGGTACGGTTCAAGTATTTAATTTTAATAATTATCTCTCGTCCGAACAATGCCTTCCGCTATACCTCGACGAAGGGAATTCCGTCGCCCCATCATCTCAATTCATAATTGTGGCGCTCATGACCTCGGTTTCAAAGTCAACCACTGGCCTAACATCGTGCTCACGCAATAACTCCGCCCCTCCATTTACTCCCCATCTTCGTGCGCTACGTTCATGCTTTCTTCTTAGATGAACGTAGTCCTCTAGGTATTAAGCCTCTAGCTCATATCTCTCTTCCTTGATTTCAGGAATAAAGTTTCCACATTCGATGGAGAAGATGGAAATCTTTAATGGGTGCAAGTCTCACACTGTGGTTTTGATGCTTACAACCTATTGCAAAAAAAAAATTATGGACCAGAAAACATGGGATAATTATTGAACTGCACAAGAAAAGAAAAGGTTGTTGAAATCTTTCTTTCGTCTTTCGAAAAGGGATAAATATTCTACTGACGGCTGACCTTTCCCGAACTCGTTTTATGTATCTTATATAGGTAAGCATTGAAATTAAATGCAGCGCATCACAAAAAGGTTAAAAAAACACTGCTCTAGATATAAAAATAAATTATAATTTATTTTAATAAAATATTCCTATGGAATGGAAGTCTGAAAAATTGTAAATAATCTTTTAGACCAATGGTTCGCAACCTTTTTTTGCCTTTTTTTCTAGTGAGATCTCAGTAGACAAATTACAAGCTATGTATCTATACCTAATAAATTTGATTCACGAACCATTTTTAACTATTTCGCGGACGACCGATTGGGAACTCTTTTTTTACACTATATTTAAATCAATACATTCAAACAATTTAGGTGTTATTTGGTGTACTATACCTTCTGTACTACAAAAATAGTGTTTTTTCGAATCATTTCAGTTTTGTACTTTAAAAATGTTTGTGCTTTGGATCCGACATCTCACTACAATTCCAATTTTTCCGACAGTTGGAAATCAAATACAAACATTTCAAAACACTTTTCATAGATTTTAGAAGTATTCATATGTTTACTCTAATACAGATGTTTATCGGGTCAGATTCCTGAGAAATTCCGTAATTCGATATTTAAACCACACATCGATGTCAGTAAATAATTATAAAAAATAAGAATAAGCAGAAGAAAAAAATAAAATAAATACCATTTTATTGATATTTAATAAAAATATTTATATAACAATAATGCCAAATTAGTGTATCTTCAAGTTGTTGGCAGTCTCGCCTGAAGGAGGTTCGTTTCCTATGAAAAGTAACTCAATGCCAACGCCAGACAGAACAGCCATAAAATACTCGTACCAGCGACATATCAAAATTCTCAAGTCTGTTTTGTGGCGATACTTTTCTAGCATTTTTTTTTAATTTTATTTTATTTTTTGGCCACAAATAACAATAAAGTAAAAAGAAAATTAGTTTAGAAAAATGAAAGAAAAAGAAAATCTGCTCGAATAATGGCCAGAGACTGGGTGGGAGCGCAGCTGGTCTCTTGAGTTACCGGTGAATTGGCTTCATCCAAAAGCTCTCGAGGAAAGTGTGGCAAGGTGGGCTGAAATACGACTCTAGTTTACCATAAAGTGGAAATATCGCAAGTTTATGCAATTTATTACCAAATACTTAATAAACTTATTATAATTTTTATATAAATCAACAACAGCCTTAGATGGGAGTAATACTGCTCTGGTGGGGATGGGTAAGGCAGCAAATCATATTGTAACAACTTTTTTATGACTTGAACGATGTCACGAATTTGCGCCAAATTAAATTCAACATTGGAGTTAGACCGCCACTCAGAACATTGTACGGCCTAAATTCATTGGCATTAGAACGGATGAGGGGCGACCGAAAGGGTAAAGTTCTACTCGTACATTATATTTATTGACTTTAGATGAGTTTCATAAAACAAATTTAAATAATCAATACTTTCTTTATTACTTTTGTATTAAATGTCATATCGAGTTGCTTGCCAT